TTGTGTCAGGTTTCTCTTTCATTGATGTTAAGTAGCTCTACATCAAACCTGCTAACTGCATGTTGCTGCATGCATGTTGAAAACTACAGGTAATCCCCCCGAAGTAAACCTACATCTGCAAACACCCTAAGACTGACTCTTGCAGTGTTCCCCTTAACCTGCCAACCTCTTGCTACAAATGTTGAATTGGTTCATTTTTTCCCTACTTAAATCACGATCCATCAAAATCCACCAAAGTACTGAACAGCTGATCATATAGAGACTCTTAAAAACATGATATGCAAACACATACCATGTCTTAATCACTTCCTATTCAATTTTCACAAAATATAGATGCATTTTACATTTCCAAAGTGTTGTCCAGCCTGCTGGACACTTTGTCGACTGAATGGTGAGCAAGAGAAAACAAAGAAAAACTGGAATTGAAATTGTCAGCATCTTTTGGATTAGTGCTGTTTTGGGACACTACATGCTAAATGAGCCTCATTGGTCCACTCTTTGCCTTCATATTCTACACTCATTACATTTCTCAAGAAAAGTCCCAGAAATCTTATCAGATCAGATCTTGGGCCAAATTACGAATGACACTAAAAGCTCCAAGGTCGAAGCCAGAGATGGTCAGCAAACCCCGGTCTTCTGTGTCTGGGATGGCAATTCCAATGTTAGTCAGGTCACACATCACCAGCTTCGAATTAGCTCCTGATGTCTGTTGAGAATAACAAAACAAACCATGTTTATTGTAAAAATGTTACATTTGTCATCGTCACTTAGTACATATTTTAAGTAACCTTTTAGATAAAGGAGTTTAAAGGAGAACTTATAATGCTGTAAAATTAACTGTGCCCTATCAGCCATCTATGGAACAATGTGAATAACAATAGCACAACAACCCCATCCCGTTAATCTTTGCTTGTATATGTTCAAAAACAATCTTTACCACACAAGGCCATTATTTAATTCAACTCCAGATGTGAAAAAACAAACATACTTCTCTGTGCTTCTTCAGAGACTCCACTGGGCTGGCAGTAAGCATCCACAGTGGGTTGTTGCTCAAAGTGACGAACACATCTACAGCTTTCCTGTTCTCCGTGGCCCATTGAATGGGAACGGTGCAGTCTCTGCTCTCACTCTGGAACTGCAACATAAAGGCACCCCTTTCTCTCATGCTCTATGTGAGAGGACAATAAACAGGTGGTAGTTGAGCTAACCAGCACTGCTTTGCAGTACTTTGATGTGAAGGTGGAAGAAGAAGAAGAAGAAAAAATGCCTCTAGTTGCTCGTCTGCAACAAATATTGTATTGTATATTCCTGAAAGGAACTGTTCAGTCGCTCGTATTATCTCGTCACCTTTAATGTTCTGTAAAGCCTTACCTTAACCAGTTCATCGGTTGCTTCTTTGAGAGTCATATCAGCAGAAATAGAGAATGGTACCATAGCCTCTTCAGAGTAGACAAGCACATGTGTGTCAGCCTCCGTCCTTGCAAAAATCTGTGTCAAAGCCAAGGTCAAAAGAAAACCATTTAGTTACCCTGACTAAAATGCCTTTATCCTGCATGCACATTCACACACAGTACACCACTGTTAGGGCCTATGCGCTAACATACTGAGAAAGGCATTTTCAGGGAATTCACAGTATGCGTCAACAGTCCCACGCCATCACCCGGGATCTCTCTAAAGATGGGGCAGCCTGAGCCCTGTTTGAAGATGCAGCTGTTCCAACTAACCAGACAGCATCATCTGGCTGTAGTACAGTCTTACCATGGCAATAGCGGCTGCAGCAGCAGCAGTGCTGATCGACGTTCCTGGGACAATGCTGCTCGATGACCCGCTCATATCTACTGCTACAACAAAGCATTTACCCACAGGCTCCACATTCTGAGGACAGAGTCACAGCAGAACAGGTCCTTCATGTTAAACAACTGCTGCTGACATCTTCTGCAACAACTGGAGAAAGTTTTGAAAATTACAACAACATACCATAAAGCTCTTGTAAAAGGCAGAGTCCATAGCTTTAAGGATGTTGCGGTCTGCTTCCCATTTCGGTTTACCCTGATAGCCATGGCCTTTTTTGTAGTTTTCTGTAGCCAAAAGTATACTGAAAGGGTGGATCTTTGCCTGGTGATTTTAGGAGACATTTAATTCCTAAATATTGAACTCTGCATAATTAAAAACAAAATAACATTTCTGGTAGAAGTTGTGAGCCTTACCTGTTTTAGTGCCGTCTCACTTTGAATTCTGTCACATAAAAACTGTGTTTCTGAGCTTCCCGGTTCAAGAACTTTGCCAGATGTCAGCCTACCTAACATCTTTACCACCGAATGGAGAGGCATTTCCTTCAACAAAGCGCTCCATACCTGCAGAAAACAACCACCACACATCCTGTTAGATGTAGAAAAATACATTTCCACATTCTTTACATTAGGCTTCAGTAGAGCTGGGCGATAGAACGATAACGATATGTATCGCGATATAACTTTTACTCGATAGAGAAATTAAGCTATCGCGATAGACCTCGCCGCTCTTGTCCTCCAAAAAAAAGAAAAAAAAAAAAAAAGGTCAGCCAATCCAAATTAAGTAGCGCAGAGCCGAACCAATCACAGCCGCAGCGTCACGTCGCGTGACTTGTTACGTATAGCACAAGTGCCAAGCCGCACGTGTGTTTGTTTGGGAAGCAGCCAGCGGGTAATGGAGGAAATGAGTGTGCCGACTAGAAAAATCAACCGAGCGTGACCGAAGAGAAAACAGATGATGGTTCCAACGCCGGAGAGATTGTCGAACGGAAGAGCCATAGAAGTTCCGTAGTGTGAAGGTATTTCGGCTATTTCAAGTCTGACAAAAAACAGAGTAGCGTGCACTGTAAATTGTGCCGAAAGCAAGTCTGGAAATACAATAAACTGGTGCATGCGTCACACTGTGCGCCACGTTATTGTTTCGGTGAAATGAATTTCTACAATACTGTTACTGTTAATTCTACTCTCTGCAGTGTTTAAATGCTTACATATACACACAGTTACTGTCCGTCCACACATACGACTCGGTTCTGCTTCTATGCCCCAGCTTTGTTTACTTTTTCCCACCGAGGCTTCTAGACTTCTGATTGGCCAATATTTCTGCACGGTTAGGAATCTAGCGCCACCTGCTGCTTTGGCATGTTCATAGCAGCGTTTTCCTTCATTTCTGCCTTTATGTGTGGACGGGATTATTTTTTAAAACGAAAACGGAAAATCTCCGTTTTCAAAAATACCCGTGTACGTGTGGACGTAGCCTCAGTCTCTGACTGGAAGCGCTAATTCGTCATTCGGCTTTTGTCAGACTAAAGTAACTGTTAAAACTGTTTGAAAAGCTCAGCTATACAACAAGGAGAGATTGAGAATTTCCTTTTAGTTCTCAGTTTATTTGATATTGACAAAAGTTAGTCAGTTTTGTCTGTTCTTCTGTAAAACAAACTAAGATTTATTTTTAGAATTAATATTTTGTTTCTAAGTGGAATTGACAATTTAGTCTGTTTTGTTTGTTCTATTTTGAAACTTAAACGCTTTAGCGGCTGCCTTTTGTGTAGTTTGCAATATTTGCCTTTATTTATCTGAAAAAGTCTCATGTTCCTTAAGTACATCTACCCTGTTGAACTTATTATGGGAAATAAATATTTAAATAAAAACAAGCTGCTGATTATTTCACATTTTACTTGTGAGCAACGGCACATTTAAATCTTACAAATATAGTTATTTGGCTTATATCGTGATAGATATCGTTATCGCCTGAAATGAAAAAAACATATCGTGATATGAAAAAATCTCATATCGCCCAGCTCTAGCTTCAGTCTACCTGAACATTGCAGTTTTACAGATAAGAAATGTTTTGATTTTTTCCCCCTCCAGGGAACACTTTTACGCAGTGAGCAGGAACTTACAAGGGGCTCACCCCAACCGCCAAAAACTGGAAAGGAAAAAAAAAAAAAAAAAGAAGTCCTAGTAGTTCAGGATGTGAGATAGTAAAGATCATTTATGGTATTTGGTGTTTAGGTAGTAAACAAGAAAGCAGTTACTTTTTAAACCAGGGATGTTTAACTTATTTTATATCAGGGGCCAGATAAACAGAACTTTAATCCTAAGTGGGCCAGACCTAGGAAAGTCCCCTTTCTGTCAGTGTAACTACGTGTAGCTGCACATTTAATCCCTCCAATATTTCAATATAAATAAAGAGGTGCAATTTCAACAGGGCATCTCAGTTTTACTACATGATAAAGAAATTCTGGTAGCTCATTTACCAGACTGTCCTGTAATTTTAAAGCAGAAAGTTTTTGTTGTTTTATTTATTTTACTGTGGACACACTGTAAAAAACAGGAATTCTTTTATCAGTACTGAAAACCCAAAAAGAAAAAAGGAACTTTTCTGTTCATTTAATAATCTGATGTAGTGTGTAAGACTGTGAGTAGGAGGGCTTCATCAGCAGGCTTCATCAGCAGGACAAGCTGTAAAATTTATGAAAATACAGGTGACCCACTTTGTCCAGTGGGTCAAAGACATCCAGTGGGCCGGATTGGACTTTTTGCCAGGCTCTTCCAAGGCCTCGAGCCTCATGTTTGACACCCCTGTTCTAAATGCTCTGTTTGAATTAAAGATGCAATTTTCTTTTCTTTTTTTTTAGTGTGAACTGCTGAGGGAGATTTTTGCTGATTACAAGCTTCTGAGAACTGAAAAAATAAACTTTTCTATCATTTGTGCTGCTACTGGACTGGTTCTTATATAGCGCTTTTCTACTCATCTGAGCACTCAAAGCGCTTTACACAACTTGTGCATTCACCCATTCACACACATTCGCACAAGCACATCTTTCTAAGTGTTTTATAGCTAACATTCACACACATTCATACTCCGATGGATGCATCGGAGAGCAATTTTGGGTTAGTATCTTGCCCAAGGATATTTGGCATATAGACTAGGGGAAGCCAGGAATCGAACCACCAACCTTCTGATCAGTGACCTGCTCTACAGCCACCACTGGAAGGAGGTACAGATTAAAAACTAAACTGAAAATAAATTGCTGTACACCCCCCTTTACATGGCATATTTTACTTTACCAAACAACAGCAGGTACAATATATTTATTTAACAAAACTATACGAGTTGCTTTCATTACTACCCAGTTTGTTTTGAACTTCACAAGCCCTATCTGTTTTTCACTTGCCTTCATAATTTTCCTCATAATCGTTTTTAAGCTTTGATTGCTCATACAGACGCTGCTAGCTTGTACCTTCTCTGAGTTCTGTATTCCTTTAGCCACTTTGCCTTTTCTAGCTTCGTATGTTCAGCTAGGTGAAAGTGATTAGATTTGTTGTTAAACATTTTTGTGGTCATCTCCCCGTGGTTTTCTGCGTTGGACACTGGTCTAGTCACTCAGTGTGAGCAGTTTCCCCACTTGTCAAACTGTGGTTATGAGTGTGCGCTGCTTTACGTGTTCTCAGCCCAGTCAGTCACCAGTTTGGGCTGAGAACACTGAAAATCTTCTTATTTCGTGTGCATTTCTAATTTTAATAAGATCCCAAGTGTAAAAACTGATTCATCTCATCAATTATCACTACGGTCTATGTTATAAACAGCAACCAGGTTAAAATGATTTAACAGACTCGCCTGTTTAAACTTCAGATGCTCGGTCAGCAGCTGTTCCCTCTCAAGCTTGTGTTCCTCTATTAAAGTGACGACCTCAGTTTCATCCCGACTGTGCTTTACCTTTTCCACCACTTCAAGATATGAAAGCACCCTGATAACCTCTTCGGCGTTCTCTTTGTTTTCATGAGCAACCTGGACCTCTTTCCACCCTTTTGTTACATATTTGCTGATCAAGGCAATAGCTGAAAACACAAAGAGATGGGCGTTGCATGTTAGCACTGACTAAAGTGAAACAAAATAAAAACTTACACTGTACTGATTAAAATTCAGCATGGGGAGTTTATAAATATGCACATATATACTCAGAACAGAGAACATCCAATAAAACCCCAAAGAAGAAAGTTGGATAACTGCAGACGTTTATTCAACTGATTACTAATAACGTTTTGCAGGCTAAATGACGTGGGTCTCTATACTTACCATCTCTAGCTGGTTTAGTGTGGGAGAGTCTGAGCAGATCCTGGTGTGACCAGCCCTCTCTCTGCTTACATTTGGTCACTGCAGCAGCTAGACTCATGGCATCTTGCTCATTGTACCAGTCAGACAGTGCTCTCCTCAGGGCACGCCCCCATATCCCACATTTCATGTGCTCTTTTAATTCCTTCTTGTACTTGATGAAAGAAAACAGATGGGCAGGCTCACGACAAACATCCTTCAGGGCTTTGAACGCTGCCTGTTTGGTGTTCACGTCTGGGTTTTGGGAGCACAAAGCCAAGGCAAAAATGGAGGGCTCTAGTCTGACAGCTTGCCCATCCTGAGCGAACCTTTTTATTTCCTCCAACACCTCAGCGCCTTGTTTCTCCTGGAGCATGGACTGCAGGGCTCCAGTCTTCTCCACTCTGATGTGACCATTCTCTCTGGTACTGTACAAGGCTCCCTCTGAGCCATAGCAGAGGAAGCGACAAAGCTTGGCCTTGTCACTGATCTCCCATGAACCACCACCTGTTGAGTTCAGGGTATGGTTGCTAGTGGTACTTCCTGATAGCGCCATTGAAACACTTGAGGTGTCCTGAAACAGATTGTAGTAAAATGAAGCAATTGTAAACTTTATAATGAAATGGCACTGTAATTTGATTGTGGTATTTTATCTTATAGTATAGTGGAAATGAAATAAAAGCTAACTACCAACACTAATGGGACGTAAAGCCTCCCCAGTGTTAATCAAACCATGGTTCGGATTTGACAGGATTACGCAAGTGTTAATAAACCACCCAGCGTTTGCTAAGGTGGCGCTTAGCACACCTTACTTTGAACATATATTATCCAGCTACGTTGTTAAAATGCACATTAAAATGTTTGAGTCCCTGCAACAGTCTCTCGAGTTCAAGGCCAGCCAGCAAGCATGAAAATGTTAACTTCGCAAGCAAACATGACTTACTCATTGCCTCAGAGCGCTGTCAGAAATAGCTTAAAGCCGATTACAGAAGACGATCATACGCATAAGACAGAGAAGACACGCTGGTCTGTTAAAAGGAGATGGTACGAGAAGTTACCTGCACGTCATTTTAAGTTAGCTGCGGAATGAGCTAGTCAGCCTTAGCTAACACTCCCGGTAGAGATTCGTTTGCTAAGTTAACTAGTTAAGCTAGCAAAGGAGGGCGGTCTGGGCAAGGTGAATTAAGTTATGCGGTTTTAATCATTTAACAATAAAGTTAGGAATATGACCAATCATGTAGCAACTCCTAGCCAGACCAAGTCTCCTCAGTTTCCCCGGCCGTGACTTGGCTGCATAGTAATGATATTAATGTTAGCCGTCAGCACAAAACTATCAACTCCCCAATCTGAGCTCCGCTCTGGCTGGGACACCGGAAAGCACTTTGATACAGCTAGTCCAGGATGAGCAGCTTGCTACTAACATACGCTAACCCTAACAAAACTGTGTTGGTTTTACTCAACACATATACTGTTTGCGAGTTGACATAACATGACATAGATATCCACTTACCATCAGGTATGTACACAGTGCTCAAGTTTTTTGGGTTGTTGTTGGTTTTTTTTTTAATGTAGCTAGATGTGGAAAGGCCTCCCCGCTGACCGTCAATGAGATAACAGGGCGGTGCCGCGGTGGATGCCGGGATATGGAGTAAAATCACACAGGGACGTTCACCCAGGGTTCTCTCGCTTTCTCTCCGTACGTTCACATTCACTTTTTTTAGTGGTTCACAATCCACTGAAAAAGAATTGAGCCTCCTTTCTTTTTTCTATATTTTGCCAGTAAAACGGAAAATAAGTGCAGTGATTTATTGAAACATGCGCAAACGTAGGTGGGAATACACATGTACAGTAAAAGGCAAAAACGATTCTATTGAGCTTCAAAGTCAATATTTGGTATGACCATCTTTATTTTTCAGCACAGCCTGAACTCTGTTTTACAAGCTTGTAATTTTTTCTTTAATGTCTTTAGGAATAGTTCTCCAGGCTCCAGGTTCCAGCCAGAAACTGTGACATACACCATGGTTATTGGATGGGTATAAAAACTGTTGTACCTTTCTTCTAACCTCCTCCGTACATACTTACATTGATTTAAATCAAAAACTTTTGAATCATCAGTCCATAAGACCTCTTTCAACAGGTTTTAAGCCCAGCGTTCTCATGAAATTTGACATAGCTCAGCCTTTTCTCCTTGTTTCAAATCTTCTTTCAGGCTGTTAGGAATGTTTATGGCAATTTTAATAGTTTCAGGTAGAATAAATGGGAACAAAGGGCTGTCCTTGTCACTCCTGTTCATAATTTTTATGGACAGAATTTCTAGGCATAGCCAGATGGCAGAAAGCCTCCACTTTGTTGGCCTCAGAATAGCTTTCTGCTTTTTGCAGATGATGTGGTTCCATTGACTTCATCAGGTGGTGGCCTCCAGCTCACACTAGAGAGGTTTGCAGCCTAATGTGAAGCAGCAGGAACGAGAAGCACCTCCAAGCCTGAGGCCAAAAAGAGTGGAGTGCTATGTGTCTATGTCTATGTCATGAGGAATAAATCATACATTTGGATGATTTTGATTTCTATCAGATGAGAAGAATGCTATTAAAACATATAGCCAATCTTCCAGATAGATTTACCATCACATATTTTCACTTTTCAAAAAACAAACACACTTTCATCCATCAATTCCAAACTGACCTTCAATGTATCCAAAAGGGCCACAGAAACGGGACACTTTTCCAACTTTCCAAACTTGTTCTATCCTAGGCTTAAGGCATTTTCTTTCCTTCCCATTGTCTCTTGGTAACATTTCTGTAAATCCGATACCTTTCACCCTGCAGATATTTCTTTTTTTAAATTTATATTTCACCTGTTTGTGAGTGACAGAAACGACGACATGTTTTTGCTTTTCGTGCACCTTCCCTCCCATTCCCTGCACATCTACTGCTAATATATATTGTTAATATAAATATATTAATAGTATATTGTTTATATTTTAAAATGTTATATTTTTTCTGTAATACTAATCTGTATATGGAGAAGGTGTTTGACTATCTGTTAATTATCTAGTATCTCATCAATTATCTACTAACAAATTTAGTAACAATCTAGTAACCAAATTATATATTAAAAACCCGAATAGTTTCCCAGCGGATGGCAAAAATGTTCTTGTTTTTCACTTTTATATTTAGTTTGTACAAAGCAAGAAATTCTAATGAAAATGTAGCATTTTTCTAACAGCCCAGTGTCAAGAAGTACCTTTGCCAGGATTCAGGCAAACCCCATCAGTGTTCATCACGGCCATTTCCATCTTTTTCACAAGATCCACTACCTTCTGTTCTTCAGCGTTGTTCTCCTTAACATCATACCTACCAACACCTCCTCTTCACCTCTGTTTTCTTCACCTCCAAAAAGTTTTTCCTTCAAGATGACACTTGCTCTATCTCTCTTCCTAGCGACAGCGGACTAGAGCATTAGTAGCGCCTGGCTTTGCTCCCCTTTCACCTGGTCTCTACCTCTCCTTACATCCTTGCCTTTCCGTCTTTCTTGATGCCTCTGAACATGCCTTTCAACAGCATCAGAGGTTGTTGGTGTTGTCCACAGATCTGACTAATCTGTTATTGAAATGTTCTTCTCGATGATCTACATGTTTGACTTACTTAAGATATCACACAGGACACGCTTCCTGACACACTCTCACTTGGGACTATGACCTTCCTATCATCATGAAGCAGTTTGGCAATTCTTCTCTGACCTCTAGCTCAAGCTGTTTTTACCCAGTGAACTCCTGCTTACTGGATATTTATATAGATATTGTGACAAAAAAGAGCTCAGTAACTTCCCACTTACAAATTAGACTGATTAGAATGTTGAGACATTTAAAGGAACTCAATATACATAGTTAAAAGCATATTTACTAGTGACAAACATCTAAAATCTTCAAAATCAGAGAAGTAAAATTGCACAAATATCAAACCTTTTACAATTTTCTGCTCTAAGCTTGCATTTCATTTAAACGTACATAATTTCATCTTAAACAATTTTTACACTTTAGATTTTCTCTCCCCTCATGCAAGAACAAAAAGCATCAAAGAAACACTTTTGCAGCAAAAAGTACAAACAATAATTTGTGGAGATGCTTTTTTTTCACACTTCAAAAAGAGTAAAGCAAAGGAACACATTATTTATAAAATTAGCATGAATCAAAGTGCAATATTATAAATGATGGGGAGTTTTTTTCATTTTTAATGCATTTAAATTGTGAAAATGAGAAATGAGAAAAAAGGAGCAGGTCAACCAGATATATACATATTTTGGTAAAAATGTGTGATCGTGTGCAATTAAGAGCTATTATAGACAGAGATGGGCAGTGTTGGAATTTAAAAATATAATCTGAAATCTATTATATTTTTTCTGGATAAGAGAGGCCCAACTCTTAGTACAGTTTGTGCCGACAGGACTGACAGGAAATTACATGCTTTTGCAGAAGCCTGCTTTTGCAGCTAGAATGAAGTGAAAGTGAAACCAACTAGGCTGTTTGATTGAAACTTAAAGTGTGGTATGATGTAGAGAGCAAGTATATAAATGACTAGGCTTCCTGTTTTGTGCTTCAGACCTGAGCTTGTGTGTCCGTGTGTTCAGGTCTCCATATCCAGGATATGTTAATTAAAGATAATTTTTAAAGTAAAAGGACCACTTTTGAGCCGTGTCTTTCTTGGCCCTAAAAATTCAAAGAACCGGAATTAACAGCAGTAATGTGTTACTGTAATCCGATTACTTTTTTCAAGTAATGAGTAATATAAGGGATTACTATCGCAAAAAAAGTAAATAGATTACTGTTCCTTTCCAGTAAGCACGCCGCTTTACTGCGTTACTAAACCGTGATTTTGTTTGTGAGAGTGTCTCATGACAATGACATAAGCATGTGCGACACCTGTGGCAGCAACAGACTTGTGTAGATCAACAATGGATAGTATGGAGTGCAGGACAGAGTACGACTATGCAGCATTTAAAGCTTGGACGTACTTACATTACTTTAGTCGGTAAAAAGTGACTAAAATATGAGCATCCGCTGTACACTCTGCGTGGGAAGAAAATGTCTTTCTACAGCGAAAAATTTAACTTGAAATCTGAGCAAGCACCTAGCACGCTGCCACAGGAATGTGAAATTCACAGAGAAACCCCCGGATACCCCCACTGACATGACTACTGTGGCACCGGGCAAACCTCCACCCGCCCCACTCCTGCTTAACAGGTGAAGATAGATTTAAGAACGACAGGACTTTGTGACTCTGAGCGTTGATTCTATTTATTTTTTGCTGTGTTTTACTTGCATCTATTTGAAAGAGTGAGTGTAAACACAAAAAATTATTTTATTTTATATGTGGGAATATGCAGAAAATAGGTTTAAATGTTAAACAAATTTCTTCAAGTCAAAGACTGTTGAATATAATTTCATTTTTGCTTAATGCAATGTGCATAAAATTAAAAGATTAAAACTGATAAAACAAGTTTTTAAAAGATTCAATTTTATTTGATGGATTATGCAGAAAAAGTAGAATTGGGCTGAAAGGTCTGTTGCTTTATTATTTATTCAGGTTGTGTATCATGGATTACTTTTATGGAGTATTAATCAGTAATTAGTTACTAATTACTTTTTTCAAGTAACTTGACTAACACTGGTAATAGATCTCACCAAGGAATTACAAATCATCCACCAGTTCTTCAGAGCTCATAAGAACAAAGAAGGATTGAACGTCTACCTGAATTTCTTAGTGAGAACAGTTTTGTGAGCATAATAATAACCCCTTAACTTCACTTCTCTTTCCACAAACATTTTTATGCATGCGGGTAAATAACAAATTTTAGGGTTTACTACACATTAAATTGCAGCACAGAGGATCACTAGAGTCTGCTTTAGTCTTTATTTGGCTTTTCTGCGACCTCTAGTGACCTTTTTGGTCTTTTAGAACTCTTTCAACAGAAGGCCATAGGGACGAATGGCACGCGCCACCATCTTTTCCTCTTCTTCTTCTTCATTGATGGGAACCAGCCAGTACTTATCATTGTTGTGTTTCTCTCTGTATCTGGGGTTGATCCGATTCTGCAGAATCACTTTGTACGTCTTGCCGTTTTTTTTGGACTTGAAATCTTTACAGTATTTGAGGGCCACTTCGATGTCAGGTGTAGAATAAACCCCTCTACCATAGACGCCACGGTGACCTGGCTGTTAAATAAAGTGAGAGGAATTAGAAATTAATTTAGAGATTTAGATAATTTAGAGAATGTTACAGTTTATTTACTTTGACCTGAATAAGATAAACTTTAAGTCATTTTTAACCATTTTATTTATTTATTTATTTAGTTAAAGGTGTACAATAACTAACAGTAGATCAGGTTTCTATTCTACAGCATAGGGAATGAGCACATCACAGTCTTTGTTAACACGTATTGTGTTTTTCTGTTATGTTCTGCTTCTACTGAAGATGAAATCTATTGAAATTTCAGTAGATACTGATCAGGGGCTGAGGGAAAGAGAAGCAGAGAAAGACCAACAAACAACAAGAGAACAAAAACACAGACAGACAGAAGATAAACATTCATGAAATATTTTAAGATATTGTGTCAAATAACTATACAGCAATTGGAGTGGAGATGAAATGCTCATTGCATCATGGGAAGTCATCATGGAGATGATGGAGACACAGACCTCCTGACAGAAGAGGCTTACTAGGCATGTAATTCCAAAGTATTGCCATATTAAAGCATCGTATCATATTTTCACTGGTTAAAATACTGCAGTACCAGAGATGATGTAATCAAACCTTGAAACGTCCTTTGATGATGTCACAAGCAGAGTCATAAGATGTCCCATGGTAGGACACAGGCCACTCCCCTGACACTGACCGAGTGCGATAGCCTGCTGTGCCGAGCCATTCATTTCCATCATACTTATCCAGGACCTGTGATCAAATGTTTTCATGCAAGAAAATCTGTTATGATGTTATAACAGATGATAGCTTCGTAGAGTTACATAAGCTGAGGGGCACAACTCATAGCAGAACACAGTCAAAAACAAACAAACAACAACAACAAAAAAACTATCGCTTTTGATAGGTCAAAGAGCCAAAAGTTATCTCTTTATCTGTAGTTATTTCTGCATCTGTTTGTTTGTTTTGTATCTAGAGGCTGGAATGGATGAGGCAGTGGGACATAAGAGCAGAGGATGCTATCTAGAGGGCGCAGCTCGAGTACGAAGACACAGTCTGTCGGTCTGAGGTCATCAAAACTGCTTTTGTTTGTTTCAGACAGTCCATAGATTATCTTTGCAAAAGTTAAACACGTGTTTTACACACAAATTTTAAAAAGTCAAATAAAAGTAAAATTATTATTGTCATTATTCTGATTTCCCGTGAAATATAATATAAATTCTTTTGACAATCTATTGAAGTCACAGCCCTCCTTCCACTGTATCTACCAAGAGAAAAAAGTCTGCATTTTATTTGTTCATCACAGCCGCTAGTTGAAAGTTTCTAATAAAGCCAGCAACAGAAAACAAAACCAACTCTATATTTTGATATCAATGTCATTGTAATGTTTCTAAATGATCTATTAATAACATTGTGAACCATCTTTTGATTTTATTCTACTATATATTTCATATACTATATGCTTCATTTCATTATACACTTCATTTTTTATAAGTAACTTTTACGGTGGTATCATTGAATTCATAATGCGTCTTTTTCAGTGAGTATCAGTATCATCCAGTGCTTGATAGTGTTTAAGGACCAGTTTTAGCAGTTTAAATGCTGAACATGAATAACATGGCTGCTTCAAAGGGATACTTACCTTGATAGCAAAACGCTGCCAACCATAAGGACGCCAGTACTCTTCGTCACCTCTGTAAAAGGTGTTTGTGTCTTTCATTCCAGTAAAGTCGTAGTGAAATCTGGGGTCAAAGAATTCTTCCTCGTTGATGATGAAACGCCTTCCATTTCTTTCCTCTAGTTCAAATTTTGATACATGTTTATTTGCTGGAAAACCTTTAATACCTATATTCCCGGACAATCCAGAAGACACGTGCCCATCAATCCTCATCAAGCTGCTTTGTGACACCGAGCTGTAAGCATAAAGTTCCAAAGCAGATCAGCTGTCTTTTCATGTCATCGACTTAAATATATTTGAAATCAGATTATGCATGGCTTATAGGTCATGCTGTTTTACAAAAGTTAATGAGTTATGTCTCAGAAGTCTGAACAATCTGAAATTTTAGCTGTTGAAAATGAAAATGGTGGATTTTAATTGGACTTTTTTTTTTTACACTATATAAAGTGAAATGCAGGTAAAAATGAGCACACATATTTTTCTATCCTGTTGTGAAACGATTAAACTTCTTTGGGTTTTCGAAACTACAACCTGACTTTGAGTCTCGGCACAGTTTTACTAGTGTCATCTAAATTATTTTTGAAACATTTTTTGCACCAGTAATTCTATTCTAAAGCCTAATCCTTTTAAAAACCTACAATCCTGTTTCAGTAATGACATTTAAAGTAGTTGTTATCAGAGGTTTAGTATAACATTTACCAAGTTTGATCTCCATCCACAACTGTAGAAATGAGCTGCGTAACAGGCAGCTGCGTAGCAGGAGCTGTGAAAAACAAATTTTTGAAAGCTTCGAGAAGACCAGAACCGATGCCAACTTCTCCTTGTTTTTGTTGAACAGAAGTTATCTTAGCATTGCAGATCACCCCCAGTGCTTCAAGGACGATGTCGTTGTCAATCATCTTGGCGATGTTGTCTTGATGTTGCAGTGCTTCACTTTGATGTAAAGAACAAAAGCTTGTATCTTGTACTTTCACTTCTGGTACATAGCAAACAGCTATGTGTATGTGTATGGAGTCATCTCTGTTGCTGAAGAAGAAGTGTTTCTAAACTCTGTCTGAGTCACATTTCTTTATACCATTATTTATTTCTTCTTATATGCCCTGTGAAAGTTAAACTTCAAAAAAATCAATTTTCTTTAAATAAAAACAAGTTTCCACATAAACATTTATACTTTGGTCTGACTTATACTTTCATTTCTATCCACTCATGCAATTTCTTATCTATTGGCAGGGGTACTGGAGCCTCTGCCAGCACTTACTTGCTGGGTGTTACAAAGTCTCTCTCCTCCACCCTACATTTGTATTTTTAAGATAAGTAATGTATCAAAAATGAAAAAAGTTAGTGATGGCCCGCTTGAAGCTGAAGCTCCGGTGCGTGTGTCAAAAAAATCAACACACTGCTTCAGAAGCACTGTGTCGAAGCTTGATTCGTTTGGCCAGAGTCACGTGATCAGTGACGTCCGAAGCTTCATTTAGAACCTAACTGCTTCGGTGTCTGATTCAATGGTTTATAAGGAAGCGAATCATTCGCGGGATTTGTGGAGTGTTTTGATGGTGACAGATAGCGAACCACTGATCATTCCACTGAGAGATTTGGAGCCAGCGAGGAATAGAGGAGGTTCTGTTGTGTGGGAGAATTTTGAGTTGATTTTTGTCAATCGGGTGGGTTTTCCAGCTTTGTGTTCTGGCCGTTTGCTTTTGTTTTGTGCGTGTTTATTATATCTGAAAACGGGAAAAAGGTAAAATGTCAAAAATCTGCTTCCATAATATAAATATCATTAAATAACTTTAGAAAAACTTCCACTTGACTCTTTACATGTAATGTTGTAAAAATATATATTTTATTGTTTAATTAATCTGAAAATGTTAGTCTGCCAAATGTGCAGCAATTTAATTTATTTATTCTCTTTAGCTGATAGTTGGTGGGGCCCAGGTAGACTGTATAACTGCATCTCTACCAGTTTCTCTGCACTCCAGCCTCCTCTGTGCCATGTGAAGGGATTTTCCTTAAGGCAGGAGAAATTATCTCCACGAAAAGGAACAGGTTCGGCCATCGCACACTAGAACAAATTCTCTTTTTAAATAAAAATGGAAAAGGGTTACCTTAAATGCATCATGTTTTTAATTTGCAAGTTCATAAGCATTTTCCCTTTCTCATTTCACAATCAATTCTACCCCCAGGTCAAAAATATGTATAGGAAAATTACCCTAATGTAATAATATTTATAAAAATACCCGTCTAGCGATTAACTGCATGAGTGCACGGAGGCAAGACCTCAGAGCAGAAGCATACTCCATAATGTGTTGTACATTTTGATATGTATATTATATGTAACGTGGTATTTTTCAATTATTGTATTTACCAACATCAAGAAGTCACAAGCAAAGAAAGACCACACAATGCTGCATGTTTAAACAAGGAGAGTTTACTGGTCAAAACTATTTATTAAACAAATAAAACACATTTTTTTTTAACCACCAAAAAATACACGTTCAAAGCAACACAACGGAGGCCCAATATCAGACAGGATTCCACTCTGTAGAGTGTGCAATCATAATGAAGCGGTTGGTTTTATTTTGTGGATTCAAGCTGCTCTTCATATTTTTGGCCACCAGATGTCACCAGAGAGGACTGTGTTGAAAAGCTTCGAGTAATGAACCGTTTTTCAATACAAGCTTCAATGCTTCAGAAAGCTTCATTTGGCCATCACTAAAAAAAGCCATAGTGTCACGTCTAGCGTGGCAGACGTGTGGAGTTGTAGATAAGGACCCAAGATGCTGCTTGTGATGAGAGTGAACTTTATTTAGTAAGGAGGATGACATACAAACAGAAACGGCATGGCGAGAAGAAACGAAACTGGAACAGCTAACAAAACAAACCGAAAACCAAACCCAGAGATGAACAGAGATACGGAGGGAGATACACAGGAAGATGGAGGGGAACAACACAGAGGAACCAGCAACGAGGACGAGGGAACACACACTATAAATACACTCACCAGTAATCAGGGGATGGGAAACAGGAGGGAAACACACCTGGGAGACATAACAGCTGACGAGGCAGGGGAAACGTAAACAGAACACACTGACATCAGACAGAGACCTTCAAAGTAAAACAGGAAACACACCGACTGAACACAGACTGGAGGACACCTATATCGGCACATGAAACGTGAAACAGAAGAGTACAAAAACCCAAGATAACCAAAACCACAGAATAATAATAAACTAAACATAAACACGGAGTCACAGACTCCGGACCATGACACATAGAGTCAATGAAGTTAAAGATGTGTTACACAAAACAGTTTCAAACCATAAAGTTATTACTCACATTACAAATTTTATAGAGAGATTGTAATGGAAATGTTACTGTTTGCAAGGCTGGGGGAAATGTGCAGTCGCTCTGAGGTTTGCTTGTAACAAAAGCTGAGAAATGCAGGGGAGGCAATGAAAACTGAAACCACAACCACTGTATGGTGCAGCTGGTGACATGGAAGATGAGGATAAAGCAAACTGCATCACAAGTGCTGAAGTCATCACTCTTGCACTGTGTGCGATGCTGCGGTTGGTCATGATTAAATGTTGCATAAAGTGGCAGGAACAAATACAGCGTTTCTATCAGCTCAGCAAACATCAGCAAACATCAGCAAACATATAAACTGTTTGTATGTTGGCCACACAATCTGCTGCTGGCTAAAAGCCTACTGGTGTGTTTCATTTAACAAAGAAAAGACTGTGAGATAGCTTCACTCAGAGAGGGGGAAAGGTGTAAGAAGAAAGACAAGAATGGGAGAAGTGTCCATTGGCATTTGGTAAACTGCATTAAATATCTTTTAATAGAGGATTAAATAGAAAAAGTCAATAGAGATAAAGACAAACATGAGTCTATGGAGCCATTCACTTAGGTAGGTCAACTTAAAACAGAGAAGGGAAGAACTGGATTTTCCATCAGATGTGCAAAAGGATTTAACGTCCAAAACCATTTTGTGAGCATAATATCCCTAAACTTAATTTTATGCACATATGTACATTAAATTGTAGCAGAGAGTATTTTTAATGGATTACTAGAGTCCACTTTAGTCTTTCCTTCCAACCTCTAGTTACCTTTCTTAGTCTTTCTAACGCTTTGAGCAGAAAGTCATAAGGACAAATAGCCCGTTCCACCATCTTTTCCTGTTCTTCTTCTGGTAATCTAGGATTGATGCAAAACAACCACTTTGTTTACTTTGACCTGGTTAAGATTAACTTTAGCTCATCTTTATTTTTATTCTATAGCACAGAAAATGACCACATCACAGTCTTTTAACAGATTTTGTGGGTTCTTTTGTCATGTTTTGCAAATTTTCTGTTAAAGATGTAATCCACTGACAAAAAAACCCACGAGTCTGGTTTGGGTTGTTGACAGGAGAACAGTACATGTCTGACTGCACTGTGCCATGTGTAAAGTTTGGTTAAGGGGGGTGGGGGGGGTGGGGGGTTATAGTGTGAGCCCTTAGTTCCAGTGAAAGGAACTGTAAATGCTTCAGTTTACCATGACATTTTGGGCAATTTCATGCCCCCAACTGTGTGGGAACAGTTTGGAGATGGTTCCTTTCTGTTCCAACATGACTGCGCACCAGTTTTTCAAAGCAAGCTCTATAATGACATGGGTCTGGGTGCAGTTTCCCCCTCTAGGGGCAAAGGTACCTAGACCTGGGGCATAGAGTACGTTTGGGGAGTGTGATTGTGTGTACAGTGTCTATTTATCTCTGTCTTCACGTTGGGTGAGTGCTGAGTATTTGCATATGAGAGCATGAGGGTGGGAATGAATGTTTGTATCTGTGTGTGCCTGTTTGTCTGTGTCTATATGTCAGGTTGGGTATCAGACGCCACTCTCTCTGGGACATCTCAGGCCCCCAAGGTATGGAGGCCTATCTCCCCCCACCACTCCCCCTGCCAGTGGCAGACGCCCTCAGACATCGGTGCAGTTGGTGGTTCTTGTGTCGCGTGGGACTGCGTCGCAGGGTGACACCCCTCATCCTGGTGGCTCTCCTCAGCTCTTTCCGAGAGAGTGGCACGGTTGCCCCGCAGTTGGTTTTCGTTGGACTCTTGCACTCTGGGGGTCTCTGGATGTCTAGAGCCTGGATCTCCTCCATACCTGCCTCATGCCCTGGGGGGCGGGGCTATGGCTCCCCACACCCTCTAGCAGATTGTTACATGAAGCGCGCTCATGCTCACAGGTGTACACACGGGTGCTCACAGACACAAACTACAGGGTGGGCCATTTATATGGATACACCGTAATAAAATGGGAATGGTTGGTTTCCTCCCCGCAGATGGCTCAGACGAGCCGGGCAAAACCACGTCCGGCAAGTGAGGCTGACACGGCTGCTCCGGGGTGGCCGTTGTCTGTCCGTTATTTTCCGAGCTTGCGCCGCCTCCCGGGCTTCATGCAAATTGGCCAATAAGTCCAAACATCCTCTGACCTGGCGGAGATAAGGATTTCTGACCACTTATAAAATGTGTTCAATGTGCTGCCCATTGTGTTGGATTGTCAATGCAACACCTCTTCTCCCACTCTTCACACACTGATAGCAACACCGCAGGAGAAATGCCAGCACAGGCATCCAGTATCCGTAGTTTCAGGTGCTGCACATCTCGTATCTTCACACCATAGACAATTGCCTTCAGATGACCCCAAAGATAAAAGTCTAAGGGGGTCAGATCAGGAGACCTTGGGGGCCATTCAACTGGCCCACGACGACCAATCCACTTTCCAGGAAACTGTTCATCTAGGAATGCTCGGACCTGGCACCCATAATGTGGTGGTGCACCATCTTGCTGGAAAAACTCAGGGAACGTGCCAGCTTCAGTGCATAAAGAGGGAAACACATCATCATGTAGCAATTTCAAATATCCAGTGGCCTTGAGGTTTCCATTGATGAAGAATGGACCCACTATCGTTGTACCCCATATACCACACCAAACCATCACTTTTGTTGTTCCAACAGTCTTGGAGGGATCCATCCAATGTGGGTTAGTGTCAGACCAATAGCGGTGGTTTTGTTTGTTAACTTCACCATTCACATAAAAGTTTGCCTCATCACTGAACAAAATCTTCTGCGTGAACTGAGGGTCCTGTTCCAATTTTTGTTTTGCCCATTCTGCAAATTCTGTGCGCCGATCTGGGTCATCCTCGTTGAGATGCTGCAGTAGCTGGAGTTTGTAAGGGTGCCATTTGTGAGTAGCTAATATCCGCCAAAGGGATGTTCGACTAATGCCATCCAGTGACATGCGGCGAGTGCTACGCTGTGGGCTCTTGCTGAATGAAGCTAGGACAGCCACTGATGTTTCTTCATTATAGACAGTTTTCTTGCGTCCACATTTTGGCAAATCCAACACTGAACCAGTTTCACGAAACTTAGCAAGCAGTTTGCACGAGCATGGGAGATGGGTGGTCTCGTAGGGTGTCTTGCATTGAAATCTGCTGCAATGACCCGGTTACTGCGTTCACCAGATATCAACACAATTTCGATCCACTCCTCACGTGTTATCTTCGACATGTCAATGGCTGTGAACAAAGAGAAACTTGTAAATAACTCATGAAAGAATAAAGTTACAGTTGAAACCAAGCACACCATTGTTTTTCTTGTGACATTACCAATAAGTTTGATGTGTCACATGGCCCTCTTCCTATTGAAAAAACAAAAGTTGTATCCAAGATGGCCGACTTCTAAATGGCCACCATGGTCACCACCCATCTTGAGGAGTTTGCCCCCTCACATATACTAATGTGCCACAAACAGGACTTTAATATCACCAACCATTCCCATGTTATTACGGTGTATCCATATAAATGGCCACCCTGTACACTTTTTGGCTGCTACCTCAAAGCACACTGTGCGCTGTTGATCCTACGTGCTGCACAATAATATTCAATATTTAGTATTTACTGTTATATTCACATAGGTTATCGTGATGATCTTGTTTATTATATTGCTCTCTTTTTTTCTTGTTTTCTCTTTTTTTTCTCTCAACAGGTGATCCAGGTGATTGATCAGTGATTCCTGAGATTAGGGACAAAACAGGTTTTAATTTTCTAAAATATATTTTTTGATTTTTCAAAAACATATTTGCATATAATTGTTACACAAAGTTTTTGGCTG